ATATCTAAAACCCAGCTGCAGCGTTTCGCCTGTCAGTGTGCTACTGGCAAAGTACAAGAAATTACAAAGCAGAAATAACATGGCCTATCAATTTAAATGATTACCTGGGTAACATTCGGGGGGAAATAGCAAAACTGAGATGAGGTGGCAGCTATCAGCTATAGATAGCTACTGCTACTACACATCAGTCCACAGGACGCAGCTAAGTTAGCTTGAAGGCTACGTGTGCCTATGACAAATCCTTGGAAACAGATTACCGACAAAACGGCAGCAGGTCGGGAAGTCAAGTCGCCTATCGAGATCAATTAATTTACATAATATGAACACCTAAGGAAAACACAGGAGGGTGGGTGCCACTGTGGGGACACTGGTGTGACCATAATACATCGATGTGGACAGTACTAGTGCTACACGTTACATTGTGACTGATAATCCAACATCAGCTCTCGTTAGCTAACTAACTCACGTAAAGGATGAAAATGTGTAACGTCAGCTGAGCCAGCCTCGAAACTGAAAATATCCCCAATATCTGTCGCCAGTGAGCAGGCTTCAAAGAGAGAGGAACACACTTGCAAAGCCTTATTAAAACGACTGACAACAAGGCAGGAAATAAAAGCAGCTAAGCTAAAACGTCAACAGCAGAGCAAACGTCAGCTAACTCGCTAACGTCAGCTAGCGAGTTAGCTAGCCTTCAAGCTAACAGCATATTAGCGTCCAACGAGGAAGAGTAACGGCGCGGACAGGATGAGCTCATAAAACAAACGTCTATCGCTACAGCAAGTATCAGACGGTGCAAGCGGTGTAGAGGTTTCCCCTGACATATTTACCCACATCCAGCGGGGAGCTGTGTCTCAAGCAGTGCTAACTGTGTGTGTGTGTGTGTGTGTGTGTGTGTGTGTGTGTGTAGGCCCGAGCGGAGCGGCTGTCGGACGGGGACCGACCCGAGCGCCGTGAGTTCGACCGAGAGGGGGGAAACCTCTGCTGCAGCCAGCTGAGCGCCATCGGGCAGCAGACACCCGACGGGAACAGCCGGTGGTGGCAGCTGATATCCCCGAGCAGAGCGGCCCCGGGAGGCACACACAAGGCGTGGAGCAAGTGTAACACTGTATCTGAGCGCCGTTCCCGTCTTGAATATTAGCCGAGGAAAAAAAGAAAACACTCTGAAAAACAGCGGCCATTCCGAAGCTGAACAAAAGAGTGCGTTCGTACTCACCACCGCAAAATGACACTTGAGCCTTTCACACGCCGTAACGAGAGACTGGCGAGTGTATAGTCTATGAATTGATGTGCAACCGCGCTGTGGGGGTAAAACGTCAACTGTTAATGTGATAATATAACTGTTTTACCTTCAGAGGTGTGACTCCGCCATCCTTGCTGCTTCTTCCTCCTCTTTTCCTACACACTGCTGCTCCGCTCCCCTCCCTCCCCTGCCACCAAACTGCGTCATTCGCACGCCTAACCAATGTTATCACGAGACTTTGAAATACAATCAAATATTCCTGGATAAACATTGGCCTAATTTACTTACACACACACACACACACAAAAAAAAAAAAGATTATATAAATAATAATAATAATAATAATAATAATATACATAGCAAGTAAAAGTCATACATTCAAGATTTTCCTAAAATCTCTTCCAGACATGTATTAAGACATATAAAGAATACTGCTTGGAATAATAATTTGTGTCTGCTAGGATTTCCCCCAAAAAAGTTTAAAATTCTGCCTCTCCCTCATTGAAAAATCCATAATATATGAGTATGCATATATTTTTAATTTCAGAAGTGAAACCCATGGACACAAAATGTCTTCTACTTCACTGAAAAGTCCATTCTGAGTCACTGATTGGTTTCCAGATTCCTCATCACACTTGGGTTGGTAGTTACATATTTCACCACTATTAGTCTTCAAATAAGATGTGATTTCACAAAATCATGCTTGTACAGAAATGCCTTGAACTCAGATTTAAGATGAGTTCAGAGAAACTTCACCTTCAGAAGATGAGTGTGAAAACTGTCTCCTGGTGCCAGCTCTATACGTACATCATTTGCACAGGGAAGCTTTACATAAGTAAATATAAGCAAAACACATTTTTGAATGGAGGAGGATTTTAAGTAAAAGTGCATTAGTATTGGCAGCAACATATACTTAAAATATCAAAAGTAAAAGTATAAATAATGGAGGATGGTTCTTTTCGGAGCTTTATATTATTCTATTATTATTATTAATGTGTATATTTTGTATACAAATGTGTACAAGAACACATGTAATATAAATAGTAAATGTACCTGTCAAATATATGTATAGGAGTTAGTAGTACAATATTCTCTGAAATGTAGAGGAGTAGAAGCATAAAATAGTATAAATTTAAATACTAGAAGTACCACAAAACTGTAAATAAGGACAGTAACGTCAGTAAGTGCACTGACTTTCAACGACTGGATGATTGTATAATACAATAACTAGAACTAACAAAGGCACTTAAAAGGAGCTTAATTCATATATTATTCATCACTAGGAAATTATACGTTTATGTGATGGTAATCACTCACTGTCTAAACGTGCTAATTAAAATCCCTCAACGATACCACGATGGCAGCAGAAAGAAGAATGAAACAAGTGTTGTAACCTGTTACCTCACCTACTGTATTTATTGTAAATACCTAACCAATTACTAATCACTACAACAATTACACAAAACTCTTAGTTAAACAAATGATCATTGTAGTGAAGGTGTTGAGTTGTTCTGAGAGCCGCCTGTAGATGTCAGTAAAGCGCTGTGACTGACAAATGCAGCGAAGAAGAGGGTCACGTGATTCTCGCGGAAGTGTTGGCTTGACAACCGCTGTAATCTTTTCCAGGTGCTAAAGGTGGGATTAACAAGTTAGATTTTATAAACAGTGTTTTTCATGTAACTTAACGTGTTCACACACGACGGCGCGGATACATTGCAGTGTACTGTGAGCTGTAGTAGCTAACGTACATTTGACAGGTAGCTCGCTAAAAGAAAGCTACAGTGATATCTGTAGCTATCCAGCTAGTTAAGGTAACGTTACGGGTTCCGAGGTTTACTTACAGTCTTTAAATTAGCCCATCGACTCGGTTTGTCACTTTGCTTTAAGGTTAAAGGTCATAATTGAAACACGAACTTTCAACATATTGCTAGCAACAGCTAACAGCTAGCTAAATGAAATGACGCTCCACCACAGGACAGCACTGATGCTCCATTATTTCTCCTTTAGCATTGTGTTATCTGTGATCTGTGTCCGAGTCCCACTGCCTTGCATTGTCTTTCTGATGTTACTGTTATTGATGTATACAGAAATGCAACTAACGTTAATCAGTGTCACCTGACTGCAAACTAAACTTCCAATGTAACCTTGCCATCTTCTGTATTACTGAATGTGCAATATTATCTCTGTGGATTCATTTCTGCTGAAGCTGAGACTATGTGTGTGACCCAACCTTGCCTGAGTGCAGTCTCTTTCAATTTACTACTGGCTTATAACGGAGTCATGAGTCAGATCACCTTTCATTGACAACTGAGAAATATCCAACAAATATATATATATATATATATATATATATATATATATATATATATATATATTTATTCTTGAGCAGTGCTGCTTGCTGTGGCAGGTATTAAATACACGTTTCATGAATCAATGTCAGTTAAAATTAGTTAAAGGAATAAACTAATATGTTTACCTTTCAGCGAGCACTCAGAAGACACAATGCCAGAAGTCAAGTCAGTATTCAGAGAAGTTCTGCCTAAACAAGGTTTGTACCACCAGCAGTCAGCTATTTGGACAGCAGGAGTCACAAACAAAAGCCTGTTTGTGGAGCTCAACATGTGAACTGTTTAGAAATTTGCAAAAGCTTGCAAAATTAGTCAGTGGGTGCTCTGTGCTGTGTGCTCCCTCTTTACAGTCTCTCTTACAGCTCAACAGCATCGACATTGTTGCTGTATAAACAGTTATATCATTTGGGTCAGTACCATGGATGGATAACAATGCATCAGTGGTGTTCAAAGTGTAATGCTTTTTACTGTGTGCCAGCTGTTCAGGGACAGAGCATCAGGTGTGCAAAATATCCACGTTTCATGCAGAGACAGTGATGAAGTAAAAACTGACTACTGGCTACTAGAACGACACAGTTTTGACTGCAAACCTGCCTCGCTGTGATGCTCACATTGCAGTACTTTAAGAGTTTATTTGTAGGTTGAACATTTCTCACTGCTAACGTGCTAGAGGTTTTTGTGAAAAATAGCAACAATCCAGCCAAATCTTTTTATTATCTTTGCATGTTTGCCAAGAATAGTTGATAAAATGTGAGAATTCATGTTGGAGTTAAGTGGTTTTTTTTTTTTTTTTTTTGTCTGTTTTGGCAACATCTACAGGGCAACTTTCCATGGAAGATGTCCCTACCATGATTCTGTGTAAGCCAAAGCTGCTCCCACTCAAATCAGTCACCCTAGAGAAACTGGAGAAGATGCAGATGGAGGCTCAAGAGGCCGTCAAACAGCAGGAACTAGCGACAAGGGAGCAATTGCAGTAGACGAAGGAATGATCAAATTGGCAGAAAATCCCTTCAGATGGATGGCACACACCCAGTGTTTTCCAGCACTGGCAGAACAAGTATTTGTATGGACAGTGAAGCGTAATGTCAAGATGTTGCAGATAAGCTAATGAAGTGGTGGTGTAGTCACCTGAGCTTAACCGCTCTTCAGATCTATAGTCTTGCTGTTAACTAGTCTGACTGCATGTCATTTGTAGGGATTACATCTATTGCTTGCCAGTTTTCCAGTGCAGTTGGCTACCAGGACCTGTGTACTTCTTCAGACTATTACATCCGTGATTTGGCATTAATGCGTACAAAAACAGCTTCAATGTTGAGTGAACATAGGTCAGAGCAATTCATGTGTCAGATAAGAGTTAAAGTTGCATGTAGTGAAGTGTTAACATTGTGACATTCACAAAAACCATTCTTGGATTATTTAACAGTGATTTTAATGAACAAACAAGGAGCAATACATGGTACATTTCACACACCAGTATCCCCCAGATATAAAAATAAACACTCTAAACACCATTTTGTGAAGTTACCCGACTGGTATTTGTTTTTGCACTGTACTTATGTCTCGACACCTTCAATAATGACATCTTTGTGTAATTTTAAAGGGTAAAAAGAAAAACAAAATGTCAAGCAAAGCATAGAAACAGCAGCTAGTTAGGGAGGCAGTATTGCATTTAACCAACATGCTCCCCTTTATTTTTTTTATACCCCTTTATAAAGCTCTTGACACAAAACCAGTCATCTCTGTACAAACACTGCTTTCTAGAAAACACAAAAGGAGTGGCAGTGAAATCAAGAAAATACTGTACAAAACAACACAGAATGACTGACACAGAGAGGTGTGGCACTTTAAGGGTTAGCTTATGTAAATATTTATACTGAAACACCTTGGAGAAAGCGATCTACTTCAGTTTCAATCAAAAGTGCAGTTTTTTTTTGTTTTGTTTTTTTGTACCTCACCTCCATTTCAGAAACGTACATTCTTTTGACTGTTAGAAGGGGAAAAATGTACCTGACTATTCTGAGAAATATGCAAGTAAAAAAGTAGCTCTTCTTTTCCGGAAATCTGGCACATAAAAAGAGCTCCTCAGTAGCTTTCAACTTTGACAACACCACCATCTCCCTCGCTGACAAATCTCTTCCGGCCCCTGACGAGAGACAGAACACATTAACAATCTGAGAACAAAAAAACCCTACAAACACAGGGAAACACATCTCCCTGCAGAGATGAGTGTAAGGTGTGTGAAAACCAGTAGCGTGCACTTACCGACAAGGACAAAGATCCCTTAACTTCACATCAATGATTCCCATACTGAAGCTCTTATCAACAAACTGCTCCAGTATGAAGTATGCACGAGGGACATCAATGTTGATTTCAGCAATGTCCATATAAACTCTTCCATAGCCCTGTGAAGGAAAACAAAGACAATGTATATGAAACAGTATCTTATAACAGGATAGTAACAAATGATGAAACAAGTACGTGCAGTTCATAATTCAAACACCAGGTGGCACCATACCCTTCTCATTTGGTCCACAGTGATGACAGAGGATGCAGAGAGAGACTTGAGTAGCTGCAGAACCATTTTGAATGTTTTCTCTCCTTTGGACTCCAACACCATCACGATCGCCTGAGGAAAGTGGCAAACATACTTACAGCCTAAAGTATTAATCCCCTCAACCTTTGCTCACTTACTGCAGTACAAAACATACTATTATTTTATCTACATAATTTAGATATAAAGACTTATTTAAGACCAAGCTGGGATGTTCTGCTACACAATAAAGCAAAGAGTTTACCTCATAGACAAACTCGTGGTGGAAATGGGGAACCTCCAGATCTCTCAGACATCTCTCAGCCTCCTTGCTGTCTCCAGATAGGATGTACTCCTTAAGCAGCAGGTTCATCTGACAGGACAGAGTAGGAAATTAAAATGATTAACTACAAACAGTTGTTAATAAAAGCACCAATCAGTTGTAATTGTAGGTAATTCTTATATATTTGTAGATGTGTTAAGACTCTAAGGAGAATAGACAGAGAAATGTCCTTCTCAAGAGTAGCCAGACATGTACATCTATACAGTAACACGTTTCTGTAGTACCACTTGTTTTTGAGAATTTGAGAAAAAGCTCTTTTTCATTGTGTACTTTGGCTTCTTCATGCTGGTGAACTGACTGAATCAGATAAAGCTTTCTAACAATAGTATAACAAGTCATAAATAACAGTTGTACTGAATTTTGGTTATAAAATGTGAAATGAACACCAACAAAAAATACATTATAGCTAGACTAACCAAATCTACTATATTACTCATCACAAACTTTACCTCTTTGATGAGCTGTGTGACAGGTCTCTGGCCCCCGCCTGTCCCCCACTGGTTGTCTATGCGTAAGCCACCCAGACTCATCTTCAGCAGCACCGCTGCCCGGTCTAGTGCTGCCCTGGAAGATTAAAGAACAGAATAAAAATAGGCATGGGTTGTGGGGCAAAGTTGTCACACTGCAACAGTAACTTCCATCCATACATCCATTACTGTCCCTTTCCCCTAGCTGCAGATCATCACACTGCTTCTCCTCTAATGTGCAGAAGTTCCAGCGTTGCTCATATTTGTTAAACCTGTTTTTGTTTTGTTTTTTGGACGCTGTGGCTCTGACAAACATCCCCTTTAGTAAAGGTTGCTTGCAATTGTCGAGAAACCTTTGTTTATCACATTGTTGTACTTTGGGTAGGACTTGATGCAATTATATTTGTTTAAAACCCTGACATAATCTCTAAATATTTTCATGAGAAAAGGATAACACAGGAAACTAAAATCAGAGCTAACAATCACATACCTTGTGTATTCACAGTCAACTCTGCCTTTGTAGCCCTCGATGTAGCTCTTGGACAATATTTGGTCGCTAACAGCGCGTGCAATGAATTGGCCCACCAACTGGAAAATAAACACAAAAGAGGGAAAACATGTAAACAAACCAAATCTTATGGCATAGCACCATGTTGAACATAGCAGTTTGACTGTAATCTGATTCTTACACCTGTTATTCTGTCTACTCATTATAAAGCAGGACCCATATTTATTGTATTATGTATTGCCCCTGCTGGTTTTACGAGAAGTCATCTTTGTCCTACTTTAGGAGTTAAGTTATAGATGTAACATTTCGTTACTGCAGTCTGGTTTGGGATTCTTCCAACCCATCTAGCCCCACACACACAGAGATGTTTAAGATGACACCATTAAGGGGAAAGAGGATGGTGAAAATGGTGTTGAAAAGAAAATATTCATGGTATGGTAAGTAATTATTAAGACATTAAGCACTGAGAAACCAGCAATCACATCATAAGATACCAGCCTTGTTGTATATGCTGACAGGCAATGTTTAGTTAGCTAACATAGCGTTAGCTTACCTGCTCCCTGAAAGCTGTAACTTCACATCATTGCTGATGCAATGTCATCTACCTTTTGTTGTTCACTTCACAAAGTAAATCCAGCATATTACCTACAAATATTCTAGTCTGCCATTAAATGCCACAGGAAGAACATGTAGAAGACGCTGACAAGTGCAGCTGTACAGGTGTTTTACTTACTTCTTACTTTTAGACTGCTCGTCTAGTCTAGATATAGATTGTCATTTAATCAACGCGAAATTAGTCGTCAGGAACATCCCTATCACCATGATGCAACTTATTCAGTTTCAAGACCAGTGGGCCCCCAAACACACTGACATTACAGAGGACAGTGGCCTCAGGGGCACGTGTGTGTTTGTTTACAGTAGTGTGAGCACATGATTTGGGGAAACGAAAGAGCTGGCTTTGCTCTTCTGGCCTCAACAAAGCTTGCGCTCATCACTCATCATTGTTCGTGTTCAGACGAGAGGCAGCTCAATCTCATCTGAACCGTGGCTGTGGCTAGACTGGCAGGCATATGAGGAGTGAAAAGAGGAGTGTGTGTGTGTGTGTGTGTGTGTGTGTGTGTGTGTGTGTGTGTGTGTGTGTGTGAGAAAAAGAGTGAAAGGGGTAGAGGGAGGAAGGAGTGGAGTCATGCCTTTTAAAATGGTAAATGGACTATACTTGTATGGCGCCTTTCTGTACAAGTGCTTCACCCATTCACACACATTCATAAAGCCCATACAGGCAAAGCCCATTACAAACAGAGACTGACACTTATTCATACACATTCATACGATACAGTGCATCAGGAGCAGTTTCGACATGCAGGGATTGACCCTGCCTACGAGCCAGGCTTCTGATTAATGGACACCCTGCTCTACCTCCTGAGCCACAGCTGCCCCACAGAGAACTGTGAGAGCTGGACCGAAATGACTAGTGGGCCTAGATGAGACAGTGAAGGGAGGACAACCAATAACCCTTTGAGTGCCCTTCGCTGAGCTTGCATTTTGCGAGTGCAGACACACAATGGCCAGAGATCTCATGTCTGTGCAGGCTGAAAAGGAAAGAGCTCAAAAAACACACACCACAAGATAGCTCTCTCACACCCACACCAGTTCGAACCACTGTGTTGTTCTCTTGTGCTCTGCAACACAACTGTGTAAAACCTCAGACAGCAAGCCAACTTTACACTGAGCGTGACGTGAATCGTGTATTTACCGATTACAGATAGGAGCTGGTTCTGCTGGTCAGTTCGTTCAAGATGTTAATGCTGTATTGTTTTGCTAATTGATCTACGGGTGTACACTGAGTTATCTCCAGGAGACTCACCTGCGGGGCTCCGGGTGTATCCAGGACAAGGTCGGGCAGCTCTCGGAGCAGTTTGTCGAAGGATTTTTCCATGTCACTGCGGGACAGAATGGACCCACACAGGTCAGCCAGCAGTCTGGAAGTGAGCTCCCGCTGGCTGGCTTTGGCCTCCAGGGCCATCGACACAGCCAGCGAGGGTACCTCGCTCCGCATGGGTCCCAGGTTCAGTTCTGCAAGCAGCTCCTGGATGTAGAGAGAGATGTTAACTTGGCACAGGCTTTATGGTTCATGTATTTAAATTCTTGTTATGTATCTGTGTTATTTATAAGCACAAGTTTACCAGCAGCTTGTTTCCTGCACTTACCGCTACTTCATTTGTATCTGCATGTTCAAAGTACTCTTGCACTATGGGGGTGACTGTCTTCTCAAAGTCCCTCTCATCCAGCGGGGGAACCACAGTCTCATACACACAGTTTTCCTGTTGAAACACAATCACATTCCAGGTCTTTCACAATTCCACATTGAAAGTGATTAATGCAGGGCTGTAATCATGGTATTCCAAACACTTCGTGTCTACTGAAGACACATCAGTACAACATCAACATCCCAGTCAGTACCTGAGCTTCGTCATAGTTGGGGTCTTTCTCATCTACTGCCTCCGGTTCATAAACTTCACCTGATCTGCCCCATACACCTTTCCCTCCAGCCCCACCTGTGGACAAAGGTCAGTGACAATGTAACACATGATATTTAACAAGTCACCATCACTCATGTTCAGGCAACATGATTAAAATAAAGCAAAGCCATGAGCAGTGTCATTTTCAAAAGACTTCGTGGCACACATATCTTGGTTACCTGACACAGGAGTTGTTTTGTGAAAAAAAGTTAAGTAGAAGCTTTTGAGAACATTGGGGTCACTTAATATAATGTACCTTAAATATAACACTTGAAAAACCTTAAAAGCCTTTTCAAAGCAGACATAATAAGAAGGGGGAGTGCTGAGGGTTACAGAGGATGGTGTCATGTGTCAAAGTACTGAGACAAAGAAACAGAAAGATGATGATAGAGCAGGGAAACATCTTTAATCTCAAATATCTTTAACAACATCTGTCAGATTAAATCTTATGGAGTAGTTTACACCCACTATAAAATGGGACTGCTTCCAGACAAATCCCAGATAGAATCAACTTTATCATCACATACAATCATACACAGTACAACGTATAGTGAAATTTGTAGAGAGCCTTGTAGTGTCAAGTCTCACTAATTATTTTCCAGTGTAGGTACAGTTCTAATGCCAGGAAGGAAATAACTGTAAAGAAAAGTCTGATGTATTTTTACAAAAGGTCAACCCGTAGGTCTTTACCTTTCTATTGAGTGTGCAGGCAGGTGTTCAGTGTTTTACCACACAATAGATCTCTGTACCCAAAAAAACCCCACAACCATTATTTATCTGACTTCCTCTTTCTGGGCTACAGTTTGTAATATGTGTTACTCTTCAGGAAGGTCTGTTCAGTGGACAACAAAAGTACAACTGTATTATTACACTAATCCCATTCTACATTGGTTAACCTAAAGAACAAACATGCTGTGATATAATCCCTCTATTACACAAACATACATCTGCTGGGTCTAAGGTCAGCACTAACAGATTGCAGACAGTTTAAGAAGCCCAATACCAAGCAGCTTGTGTCACATGCTTTTAAACCTCCATTAGTCCCACCCTGTATGTGGCTTATGACATGCTACTATATTTAGCGGAGCCCACATTAGTTGTGCAAACTTGTCTCACTTCAGCGTTAAAATGTGGCGTACGCTTTTTTTGCTCTCACCAGAGTTTCTCCTGCGACTGTCTTTCAAAACTGCAATGCATGAACATTTAATGCAACAGAGCTCAAATAACAGGGCTTCACTGGCAGGGCCAGTCTGTTCTGTTATATAACCAAAAAAAATGGACAGAAGCTGCGCCAACAGAAACTACACTTGCTCCAGTTCCACTGCCCATGGGGAGAGCAAAGTGACTGAACTGTACTGCAGTCTGCTGAGAGATATATGTTGGCGCTGCATACTGACATCACTGAATGAGGACCCGCACTGAGAGACAGCTGGACTATCAGAAGATGTTGACACAATTCTGATCTAAATACATTTGTGATGAGTCAGTGTTAGGGCTACTTATTAAATACAGTTATGTACAAGGAGAAGACAGGTCCAAGTATCCATCTTTGGTGTGATATAAATTCAATAAGGAACCCCTGTAAGCCATTATCCTATTTACCTCACACAATAAGAAACAAGACACAAAAACAGACAACCAATCAACTCAAACACAAGACAAAGAAATGCTCCATAAACAACTTTACACTTATTTACACAACTCCTCCTCAAGTGGTGAAACATGCATGTTCCATCCAGTGGCAGTATATCACTAACAAAAGTCACTTCTGGTACAGTTACACAAATATTGCCAAGATTATCATCCAACCTCGAGTGTAAATTTCCAGAAAAGCCTTGCTGATCAGATGGCAAGAAAAGGGTTCTTTTAAAACGGGTGCGAACTGCTTCAGATCACCTAACCATTTGTTTACATGCCAATTGGTTTATGGCTCCTAGAAGAAAAGCAATCAGGTGATGACAACAGCAGGTCACACAGTGATGAAGGCCTTCCCTTTATAACACTGAAACACCAGTGGCTCTTTGATAAACCTCAACTCGCCTGTGGCAAAGGTTAACTGAGCCATTTGATCTCTTTAGCAGCACAATGTTAACAGAATATTACCATGCTATCACATTAAAAACTTCTTTAGTCCTTTAAAACGTTAAATCTTCCTACCTTTTTTTGGCAGACCTCTTCCCTTGCCCAATCGGGACTTTCTGTCTAGCAGCTTGCTCTTGGGGCTGGTGGGTGCCACCGAGGTTCCCCTGACCACATCCCCGTTGTCGCTGAGAGAGTCCCCCCTGCCAGAGTCCCGAGAGGAGTTCTTCCTCAGTCTCCGCTTGGCCTTCGCCTTGAGACGCGCCTCGTGGATGCTGTTGCTAGACGAGGACAGCCAGTTGCCATTGATCTCATTGTTGATGTTTTTGTTGGCGATAACTGGTGCACCATTTTCTTCGTCTCCAGATGCAAAGGAGTCACTCAGGTCCCCTGCCTCTGTTGGAAAAAATTAGGGGCAAGTTTCAGTTGAGTAGCTTTTATGTGCAGAACAGATCAGGGAGACTAGAGCTGATGCATAAAATGTTATTTGTTGTATTAATCTGAGTGGGGGGCCACGTGCACATACAATAAAGAGACTGGATTATACTGTTTTTATCTGAAGTCACAAAAAGCTTCAAAATGTAGGATGAGCAGCAGCAGAATATAATCAATGTCAAATTCAACATCACCAAACCTGCAGGCAGTGCAAGAAAATAAGCAATAAACCACTTCCGCATGAAAAAGTCCCAGTGCCCCACATCAGACAGCTGATGAAGCATTTAAATCGCTGTGTAGCTCTCACTTACCGACAGGGTTTGCGTTCAGCCAGGCCTCGCAGTCAGTTGCCATGTTTCACAGTAGAAAAGAGATTCTCCGTGCACAAAAAAACTAAAGGATTTCAAGTGAGACCTGCAACGTTGAAGAGGAAACAGACACTTTATATGCAGACATGCGACAATAACATGCCCAGACATGCTGCAACGCAACAAGCTTCCCCTCCCCCTCCTATCCATTCAAAGTCACACTGTTGGTAAACAATGGCCAACGTCGCGTTAGCTTGAATGTTCACTGTCAAACAAATAGTTACATCGGAAGACCAAACTCCAGAGTAGATAACTGCACATATACAAACGATTACTACTCACACAGGGACTCACAGTGCAGTTTACAGACTGTTAATACACCGATAAACGTCGTTGACTGGCTGTTTATCGTCAGTAAAAGATTACATCGAACTGTACACAGTCCGCTAGCTCTGTGTACATCTGTTAGCTAACATAGAAACAATCCTTAAATCCTTGACAACACTGACATGTAAAATATGCATTTGTATCCCCCTTTCTCCGTCGATTGAATAACTCACAATAAACGTACTGACCGTCTGTTGTGTCTAAGCTTCAAACTCTGACACGAACCCTGTTGTTTTTGTTTTATCTACCCAGCAACGCAGGCACGTAGATCAGTGTATGAGAGATCTGATTGGCTGGAGGTGTGTGGGCTTTTTAAAACATGGACCAATGAAAATGCAACACGGGATTTCCTTCTCGCATATTCTGTGAGGGTCTGTGTGTCTGATGAACTGCTGCCCCCTATCTGTGATACTGTAGCACCACTCTTTATCAGCTACAACATGCTGGATCATTGATAATGAGATTGATTGATTGATTGATTGATTGATTGATTGACTCTGTTATTCTGGCCATAGCCCCAGGAAGTTAACTTAAGTATATTACATTGTGTAAACCTACTGTTTGAGTAAGCTGACTGAATGTCTTAAATTGGGGTTTTTTAATATAAAAAGGAGAATAATTTTGGACAAGATTAATGTTAAATATCTAAACTGAGTTTTAGACATTATTTAGACCTATAGATTTAATTTTAGCTCCCAAATGTGTTTTTTGCCTCAACACATGGGGGAGCTATTTTACAACACTCCCACACACGCTGGTGTAGAAAATGGATTTGTGTGTTGTACCGCTGTTTGTGGGTGCTGTTCATGACTGTATTACCATTACAGGCTACCTCATTGTATTCAAAAAGCAAAAACGTTTGTAGAATCTAGTTTAAAATGTTTATTGAAGTTTTTTTTTGCATCAAAAAAATCATATGAAAAGTTTGTCAAAGAAAACAACACTATCATTGATGTCACAGGATCAGCATTCACAGTATACAAAAACAAATTCTGGCTTGATAATCCTGAACAAATCACTGTAACATCAAACACTGCATGTTTAACTGATAAATTAAATACATGGTCCAGTTTAAGGTCTTCAATATTTAAGGCATTTAATATATTGGCAAATATGACTGGGATTGTCTTATTGAATTAAATCCAACATAAAACTTCCAGAAAATAAAGATCTTTTGCATAGTTGCATCATTATCAAATCAAATGATGAACATTTTCACCTGACAGACAGATACTGTAGTGCACAAACTGGCACAGATAAAAGACATTGAGCAAGAGTCTTTAAAGCCCCAGACATAAATAAAAATGTAAATGTTGTGTACTTAAAATCTGTTCAACAAATACAACAAACCTGAGAATCAGCCTCAGTTTTTTTAACTGAGTAAAAACATTCCTTGGCACATATTTCAAGTCATTTTGCAGCTGTAAAAGTATGACTGTTGCTAGGAGTATAACTAATATAAACTCAGAGAAGGGACTAACATAAGCCCTTACTGAAAAAGCTTCTTAGTAATTACAATCATTGTAAATACATTCCCATTCCAAAAAATATCACACACAATCCAATTAAATAAACTGTAAGAAAATGTATAAACCCCCCAAACATTGCAATTAAATATTGTAGCCTCTCTATTAATGACACTTCAGGTATGTACAAGATTGAGAGCATCTATAGCTGGGACAGTCAGTGCCATTGAAGACATTCAAGCATCCCTCCCCCAAAATATCAAAACCAGTGCAATAGTCCACACACTCTAGCTTCCATGTGTCACATTATCCACGCTGTTGTTGTCCGCAGGCTTGCACCAACATACATGAATCTTCTCCTCTGCTGCTAGTTGATGTCACTGTGCAGCCGCAGGTTCAGCAAGCACGCCCGACAGACCCTCCTCTGCCAGCTGGGACAGGTATTTCTGAGGACGAGTGGAGAAAAAGAAAAAGAACATGAATATAAATATAAATATAAATATATATACATTATTGGTCTGACTGCACACATGTATTTACTCAAATATCAGAGAATGAAAGACTATCAATCAGAAGCTACCTCTTCTTCTTATTCTGTTTTTTTTACTACAATGAAATGCTTTGTTGTATAAGAAAATCAATATATACTGAACAAATTTAAAATGTGGAAACAAATTCACAAAAACCAAAACATATGGAGTGTTGAAGTTAAAGTAAAGTAAAGTAAGTAAAGTCAAACATAAACCTGTAGTCAAAAAGAGGACAAAAACGAATCTAAATCTATTAAATACCAGAACATGCACGCAAACACACACACACACACACACACACACACACACACACACACACACACACACACACACACACACACACACACAGAGCTTTGACAGACAGCACAACTGTTTAAAACAGGTTTTTTTTCCTTTGGAATGTAATCCATCAAATGTTAGGGAATCTCTGCCCGGCTTGCCTCAGCTGTGCTGCCCGGGACGAGAGAAATGTAAGATGGCTTGGTGCTGAATGGCCAAAAATCAGAAACCTAATACAGTTTCAAGTATACATGCAATGTCTATGTTCATTTGTTTGTGTGTGTGTGTGTGTGTGTGTGTGTGTGTGTGTGTGCGTGTGTGAGCTAAGATGTGTAAGTATATATTAATGCGTTGTCTGAGGATGTGTGATTGTAGTTGTGCATTTCCTCTTTCAATTAATCTGTTGATTATTTTTTCAATTAACCATTTAATCTGTTAAATTTCAGTAAATAGAAAAAAATGGCCACCAAAAGTTCCCAGAGCCTCAGCTGATGTCTCAAATTGTTTGATTCACAGCACATTTAATTTAATGTCATATATACACCTTCAAATTTGGGGAAACGGAACCACCTAATTTATGGCATTTTCCCTGACAAATGGCGATAACAAGTGTATTGATAATTATGAATTACTATACATTATGAACATAAATATTAAAAGTTCTGTTGATTGTTGATTATTTAATTGTTTTAACACTATTGTGCATATTGCCATGTTACTATCTAGCAAGAAAAAAATGTAGATACAAAATATGAAACAACTCAACATATTATTATGCTTTGACTGTATTACTGACAGTTACATTAGTTTGACCCTCATGTCGACTGTAGTCCTGTTTAGAAATCAGCACTTTTGTTTAAACATTTCAAATAAGATTTATGCCCAAAATAAAACGAACATGAGAATAAAAGTAAAGAAAATGAATATAACGTGTATGTGCTGAATGTTTGAGTATGAAAACATTACTCATCAACCCAGAAACAGGTGGTGTTAAAAACGTTGCTACCAGACCACACTGACTGTGGACCACACCGGCAGTGCCCTCAGTACAGTGCAGGCGTACACATGTGAATTTTTAATACTATATTTGCTGGTACAAAAGGAGTGATAGCAAATGCACAGACAGACATGTTGTATATGTGCATACAGTGCACACACACACACACACACACACACACACACACACAAACATTTACTGTTAGATACACATATCTACCTCAGCGAGGGTTGGGATGCTCATAAAATTCAGGGAGGAAATAATTAACAAAATGTGGAAATGTATGATTTCAGGTCACTGTGCAGTGTGTGTACCTGTAGGTTCCTGTAGTGTACAGTGCTGCGGCAGTGAGTGGTCTTTGCGGTGTCCTCACTGGTATAGAAAAGTCCGCACAGTTTGCAGTAGAAGCCGGTCCTCGGCACGATGAACTCCACTCCTGTTAGACAGCGAACACAACAATTAGATTACAGCCCCAAAAATCAGCACCTGACAAACGCACCTGTCATCATTTTGACTAAATGCTGCATGTTTTACGTGCATTTTTTTTTTTAATGAATCCAAATTCTGGAAAAGAAAAAAAGTTAAAATATAGTTTATTTTATTTACTTTAAATCTTTTATCCTCCTTTTTTTTCATTTTTTTGTCATTCTTATTTATTCAAATAGATTTTTCTATCAACACTGACAGAGAAACGAAACAACGCCTCTGTCAATTACAGGCTAAAAAATGTTAACTTCTCCTGGTGCACCTCTAACTACATCACTCTCTCTGAGGCCAATTTGATCGATTCTTGTCAACAAAAAAAAATTCTAAATTAAAGAAAATGATATTAAAATGAATAACAATAAATATATATCACTGAAAAGGATGACAAAAGCACCAAAATTAAATTTTTTCTTTAAGTGTTTTGTGTCACTCAGATATGAAAGACTTAGGCGTTCATAGCGAGACTCTTCACATTCAGCGCCACACCACGGACACGCCTTTTGATGCACAGTAAATATTTGATTAACTTTTGATCACCAATGTGTCTACATTGCAGTGATCGAATTTGAAGTTAATCCGATAAAATCTGTAGGAGGAGTTAGTTAAAATTAAAGCCCTGAAATGCCGGAAATGGCATCACAGTTTAACATGTGATTCAAAATGGCCAACTTTGACGGTACGCCACAGACACGCCCTTCAACGTACAGTCATAAATAGCACAGATATAACAGCAAAAGGGGGGAGTCCGTTCAAATCAAGCTAAAGCACAAAAAAAAAAAAAAAATTTTTTTCCCCCCCCCCCACCCCCCCCTTCAACGTACAGTCATAAATAGCACAGCGTTTAATCAGCAACATTTGCTGACTGTACTGACCAATTTTGAAGGAGATCACATAAATTCCCTAGGAGGAGTTTGTTCAAATACATGGCAAAAATTTGCTGAAAGTGAAAATCAAAATCAAAATGACTGACTTTCTGTGGGGTTTGGGTCCAGGAGGCTTTTTTGAATGTCCTAACTTGCTATATATGCCTGCCAATTTTCATTCATGTCCCCTAAACAGGACACCGGGGCTGGTTTTTTGAAAGTTTGTAGGGGGCACTATCGAGCCATTTTGACACACACACACAGGCAACATCCATATGAAATGTAAAATGCTGCCATGTGGGACATGTGTGCCAAGTTTCATGAGGTGTTGAGCCTGTTTAGCCCGCACAAAATGCGATCAAATGTTAAAACAACAAGGTGATGCTCGCTGTGTCACTACGGCAACACGGTTCAATAAAAATTCATAAGATTCGTAAGATGTCATTGTCAACATTCTAAGGGTCTTCTGACCTAATTTCAGCTAGATGTGTTCAATCTGCTGGGAGAAATACATTAAAGTGTAATAAATTCCACCACTAGATGGCGCTCTCACTATTAGAACATAGATGAGTTCAGGGAGGGACTCTTATCAGGCAAGAGAAGTTTGGAGCCAAATGGACAATGTACAGTCAAGTTATAACGAACTTGTGTGTTCTGGCGGTA